TAAGAGGGAAGGTCCTCTCATGGATCGGTAACTGGTTTAAAGGTAGGAAACAAAGGATGGAGAGAGGTAAATAGTGGTGTCCCCCAGGGGTCTGTACTGGGCCCAGTCCTATTTAACATATTCATAAATGATCTTGAAAAAGGGGTAAACAGTGAGGTGGCAAAATTTGCAGATGATGCAAAACTTCTCAAGATAGATAAGTCCCAGGCAGACTGTGAAGAGCTACAAAAGGATCTCTCAAAATTGGGTGAGTGGGCAGCAAAATGGCAGATGAAATTCAGTGTTGATAAATGCAAAGTAATGCACATTGGAAAACATAATCACATCTATACATATAAAATGATGGGGTCTAAATTACCACTCAAGAAAGAGATCTTAGAGTCATTGTGGATAGTTCTCTGAAAACATCCACTCAATGTGCAGCTGCAGTCAAAAAAGTGAACAGAATGTTGGGAATCTGTAAGAAGGGATAGATAATAAGACAGAAAATATCATATTACCTCTATATAAATCCATGGTACACCCACATCTTGAATACTGCGTGCAGATGTGGTCGTACCTTCTCAAAATATATATTCTATTGGAAAAGGTTCAGAACGGGGCAACAGAAATGATTAGGGGTCTGGAACAGCTGCAATATGAGGAGAGATTAATAAGATTGGGACTTTTCATCTTGGAAAAGAGATGACTAAGGGGGGGATATGATAGAGGTCTATAAAATCATGACTGGTGTGGAGAAAGTAAAAAGAGAAGTGTTATTTACTCCTCATAACATAAGAACTAGGGGTCACCAAGTGAAATGAATAGGCAGTAGGTTTAAAACAAACAAAAGGAAGTATTTTTTCACACCACGCACAGTCAACCTGTGGAACTCCTTGCCAGAGAATGTTGTGAAGGCCAAGACTATAACAGGGTTCATAAAAGAACTAGATAAGTTCACGGAGGATAGGTCCATCAATGGCTGGTTTGAGCATTGGCCTGCTAAACCCAGGGTTGTGAGTTCAATCCTTGAGGGGGCCACTTAGGGATCTGGGGTAAAATCAGTACTTGGTCCTGCTAGTGAAGGCAGGGGGCTGGACTTGATGACCTTTCAAGGTCCCTTCCAGTTCTAGGAGATAGGATAACTCCAATAATTTAATTTTATTTTATTAGCCAGGATGGGCAGGGATGGTATCCTTAGCCTCTGTTTGCCAGAAGCTGAGAATGGGCGACAGGGGATGGATCACTTGATGATTACCCATTCTCTTCATTCCCTCTGGGACACCTAGCATTGGCCACTGTCGGAAGACAGGATACTAGGCTAGATGGACCTTTGTTCTGACCCAGTGTGGCCGTTCTTATGTTCTTAGTGATTTTTGGCACAGTCCCACAGGACACTCTCTTAAGTAAACTAGGGAATTGTGTCCTAGATGAGATTACTATAAGGTGGATGCACAGCTGGTTGAAAGAACATACTCAAAGAGTAGTTATCAATGGTTTGCTATTAAACTAGTGGGAGGGGCACATATAGTGGGTTCCTGCAAGGGTCAGTTGTTAGTCTGGTATTATGCAATATTTTCATTAATGAATTGGATAATGGAGCAGAGAGTATGCTTATAAAATTTCAGATGCCACCAAGCTGGGAGGGGTTGCCAGCACTTTGGAGGACAGGATTAGAATTCAAAATGACCTTGACAAAGTGGTGAGTTGGTCTGAAATCAACAAGATGAAATTTAATAAAGATAAGTGCAAAGTACTACACTTAGGAAAGAAAAATCAAATGTACAGCTACAAAATGGGGAATAATTGGCAAGGTGGTTGTACTGCTGGAAAGGATTTGGGGGTTAGAGTGGATCACAAATTGAATGTGAGTCAACGATGTGATGCTGTTGTGAAAAGGCTGATGATATTGTGGGGTGTATTAACAGGAGTGTCATAAGACATGGGAGGTAATTGTTCCAATCCACTCAGCACTGGTGAGGCATCAGCTGGAGTACTGTGTCCAGTTCTGGGTGCTGCACTTCAGGAAAGATCTGGAGAAATTGGAGGGAGTCCAGAGGAGAGCAACAAAAATGAGAAATGGTTTAGAAAACCTGACCTCTGAGGAAAAGTTAAAAAAAGAACTGGGGTGGTTGAGTCTTGAGGAAAGACAACGGAGGGGGGACCTGATAACAGTCACCAAATCTGTTAAGGGCTCTTATAAAGAGGACAGGGTTCAATGTTCACCCCAAGTAGGACAAAAAGTGATGATCTTAATCTGCTGCAAGGGAGATTCAGGTTAGATATTAGGAAAAACTTTCTCAGTATAACAGTAGTTAAACGCTGGAACAGGCTTCCAAGGGGGGTTGTGAAATCCCCGTCACTGGAGGTTTTTAAGAGCAGGTTGGATAAACCCATGTCAGGGATGGTCTAGGTTTACTTGGCCCTGCCTCAGCATAGGTTGCTGGACTAGATGACTTCTCAAGGTCCCTTCCAGCCTGATATTTCTATGATTCTCATGCTTTTTCTGGCCCAAATAATATTAAATTATTCAATTAAACTGGAACAACTTCAACAGGAGAAATTGAGGGAGAATAGCCCCTAGCCCTCATTGAAAGGTGGCAGGTCCCTGTTCAGATTCCTTCTCCCTGAGGGGGGACATGACCCAAGCATCTCCCACAGCCCGAGTGAGTACCTGAACCACTGGGCTAAAGTCTATAGGGTGGGCCTCTCTTTTTTCTCCTCCTCCATCTGTTTTGTGTGAGCCGGGCGGCCTCTGAACACGCCTGCCAGACTGAGCCCTGCATGGGAGTTGGGCAGAGGAATGACTTTCTTTCCCCAGTTCTAGGGCACAGATCACATTCTAGGGCACCTGGCTCTCCCTGTTCACTGTATAGGGAGCCTAAAGCAGCAGAGTCAGCCTTCCTTACTTCCTTTAAATGAAAGCTGAGAGTCTCACTTAGTCACATGATTCCAGAAGCAGGGGCTTTAAGAAAACCTGTACATAGCACTGGACTTGCAATACAATTACAAGAGTTGGCCATGCTGAAAAAGCCATTTGTTTTCACTGAAATTAAGAATAAAACAAAAACCTATTCCTAGTCAGAATTATGTTTCCTAAGAGCTCTTTTCTATTACATCGAAATGTTGGGCCTGAATTAACAGGGACAGTCTCAACTTAAAAAACATGCTCTACCTGAAAATGTTGTGCCCACTGTGCTTACAAGTCACATCCGGTCTCCAAACTCTCCTCTGCTGAGATGCTTACAAGAGCTTGGCAGTGGTTAGGCAACTAGGACCACAGCCCATGTGCTGGCCAGTATTGTCTTATCCCTCTGTTGTCTCTTGTCTCACTCTTGCACTGTGAGCAGGGCCGTCCTTAGCCATACGCAAACAACGCAGCTGCGTGCTGCTCCAGCAGCCAGCCGGATCCCCCGGCCAGCTGAGCCGGCCAGCCACCCCTGTTCCACCCCTTCCCCAAAGCCCCTGCCCCCCACTCCACCCCTTCCCCTGAGCTACAGCCCAGGGGACTGCAGAAGGGGTCGGGCCTGCCCTGCAATCACTGGGCGGTGGGAAGTGGGGCTGTGTAGGGCACCAAAATGTCTAGGGATGGCCCTGACTGTGAGCTCTAAGGAGCAGGGGCCATCTCTTTGTTCTGTGTTCGTGCAGCACTAGGGCCATGGGGTCCTGGCCAGGTGCTGTCACAATACCAGTATTAAATCACTAGAATTCCTGCTGGGTCAGATTTTAAAAAGAGCCCCAGGCTCAGCCCTTACAGCTGGGGCCAGATGTTCCAGAGACCTCAGCTCCCATTGGATAAGGTCTGTGTTTGCACAAGCGCTTTGCTTCCAGCAGCCCCCATTCTGGCTGTGTTGGCAAAAGTGCCCTGCACCCAGCGTGCCGAGTCCCTGAGCATCCTAAATGGGAACAGCTCTTTGGAAAACATGTCCCCTTTGTGGCTAGTCGGTTCCCCACTTTCTCTTTCACTGCGTCTCCTGGGTGTCCTCAGTAAGTCAAGTATCAGAGGGGTAGCCGTGTTAGTCTGGATCTGTAAAAAGCAACAGAGATGCCCACTTCGTTGGATGCATGCATCCGACGAAGTGGGCATTCACCCACGAAAGCTTATGCTCCAATACATCTATTAGTCTTAAAGGTGCCACAGGAGACTCTGTTGCTCAGTAAGTCAGTCCACCCATCCCCCCAGTCTGCAAGGATCTTTTGACAGTGTCAGGGGAGAGAATCATTTTTTTTAAACAATAGGGAAATGGGATTGTAAAAAGGGGATGGAGGCAGACACACCTGAGCCTCCCGTTTTTAAACTGACTAGATTTCCAGCCGACTGTGTCCCTTGGGGGGTGGGGGGGAATCTCATTAACAGGGTTTGCAGTAGCAGTGTGATTCGTACAGTGGATCCTGGGGCAAAGTGTCCCGTGGGGCGTGGGAGGCAGGCCGAGGCAGCTCTCAGGAGTGGGGCGTGGAGTGGTGTGTGGTGAAGGGGAAGCTGAGATTTAATGGCAGCGAAGGTGCTGTTAAATATCCTTAACGTTCTTTCCACAGGCAAGCAACTGAGGGGAAGGGGGAAGGTCAGCGGTGCTGGGTGCTGTAGGGAGGAGAGATGAGTCAAGTGTGGGGCGACGTGCCAGGGGCTGCAGTCCCGGCTCTGTCCCTGACCTCAGGTGACCAGCTCCCCGGCTGTAATACTGACCGGCCTCGCAGAGTGACTGTGCAGTGCCATGAAGGTGCTGGGGGCAGTGTCAGGGCCTGGCAGAGCCAGAGAGCAGGGCTGGCTGCTATAGTGAGGGAGTAATGGTCAGAGCAGGGAGGTGCGTGGGGAGCCCAGGGCTGGAAGAGTTCTGGGGACGCAGGTCTGGAGAAGGGGTCTCAGCAAACCTGTAGAGATGATTCATAGATTCCACGGCCCGGGGATCACGGTGATCGTCGAGTCCTGGGGCAGAGCTTTCAGAAACCAGCCAGTCTGCAGTGCACTTCTAATTCCGAATGAGAGAGACGAGCCCTGAAAGGAGAGTGGAAGGGCTGCACGTATGGAGCAAGGGGCACTGGCAGAGCTGGGCGTGGGGAGCTCAGGGCCGAACGGGCTGTGGGTGAGGAATGGGGGCACTGGCAGAGCTGGGTGTGGGGAGCTCAGGGCCGGACGGGCTGTGGGTGAGGCATGGGGGGCACTGGCAGAGCTGAGGGGAAAGCTAGCCTTGCTGGGAATCCTGCCGCTAACCAGCGTACGGGTGGAGCTGTCGGGGAAGTAGTGAGGGTGGTGTGTGACTCTTCTCTGCTTGTCTGTCCTGTGCAGTCCTCTGCCAAGAGCCTGCGAGCCACCATTGGGGAGGCCTTTGAGCGGCTGCACCGGCTCCTGCGCGAGCGCCAAAAGGCCATGCTGGAGGAGCTGGAGGCTGACACCGCCAGGACTCTGACCGACATCGAGCAGAAGATCCAGCGCTACAGCCAGCAGCTGCGCAAAGTGCAGGAGGGCAGCCAGATCCTGCAGGAGCGGCTGGCTGAGGTGGACAGGCACGCCTTCCTGGCAGGCATCGCCTCGCTCTCGGAGAGGTACGGGGGGGGGCGTCGCCTGGCTCTCAGAGGGCTACAGGGGAGGAGGGGCGGGGGAGGCGTCGCCTGGCTCTCGGAGAGGTGCATATGGTCTTTGCAGCCCAGAACTGCCTCAGTCTATCTCCCTGGACAATGGCTCTTCCCTCTTTAGCCACCCAGCCCAGCCTGACCCAGCCTAGTGCAGGACAAAGACCTTCCTGTTGTTGCTCCCTCCCATCCATTCCTAGTCCCTGTCCATCCTGAAGGCCTGCTTAGCCCCACGCCCACGCAAGGGTTTAGCAGTGAGGACAGGACCTTCCTAGTCCAGAGCATCTCCCCATACCCACCCTGGCACCAATGGGGCACTGCCAGGGAGTGCACACCGGCTGGCCTCACTCAGTGCTCCCATGGTGTATGCAACCCAGGGCCCATGTGGCTGTGACCCAAGAGGCAGTGCCCTATGCCCTGCGACCCGCTGCCCAGCAAGAGAGGCATGGGCAGAGCTCCTACCTCTAGCCCAGGCCCTCACTCAATTGACCCCCTACCCCTGTAACCTCTCCCCTTCCTCCCCAGCAAACCCCACATTGCGGTAGGGGAACTGCAGGGGCTCCGTGCTAACCAGCTTGACTCTCCAACCAGGCTCAAGGGAAAGATCCATGAAACAAACCTCACCTATGAAGACTTTCCTACCTCCAAATACATGGGCCCCCTGCAGTACACGATCTGGAAATCGCTCTTCCAGGACATCCATCCGGGTAAGGTTCCCCAGCCCAGGGAGGGCGGCCTGCGCCCTCTAACGTACTATAGGCCTTTCCTGGCATAATGTGGCAGCCGGGGCCTCTGGCGTGATTATCAGAAGTGCTGAGCACCCACAAGTCTACTGGCCTGAGGGCGGCAACGCTCAGCCTACCTGCAAAGCCTGCCATGTGGGGAGAGTCGCCGTAGCTAGGTAGATACAGCCTGCTGGGCCCAGCCTGTGTGCTGGGGGGATTAAACTGCAGACAGGCGGCCCCGGCGGCCTCTTCAGGGCATTGTGGTCTGACGCCAGCAGGAATACTCGGCATGTAGGGCCAGATTCTGAACTGGGAGTCGCAGGGCTGCAGGACTCAGCACATGTGCTGGGGGCGAGCAGCAGCAGGCTGTCTGACAGCAGTGCCTGGGATCCAGCGCCTGGCATGTCCTCTGTCAAAGGGGCTCCGGGTGCGTGGTTTGATGTTTCTCCTGTTCTCGGGCTCTGCGGGAGTGCTGGGGGCTTCTCCTTTAGAGACCTGCAAGGGGCAGGCTGGTGAGGGGACAGAACTCTTTGCCTCCAGGTCACTGGTTCAACCCCCCCCAGCCAGTAGTTGCATGTGGCTGCTCCATGACCCATGCAAAATCCGAATGGGCAGAAGGCTGAGCGCCGAGGCAACAAAGCGCCCATTGACTACAGTGGGGGTGAGAGTGCCTTGGGGAGAACACCCTGTATCTGGGGGGCCCTGAGATCCTGCAGGGACGGGGACCACAGCCTACGCACCAGTCTCTGGTGATGCAATCTTCCCCTTGCAAAGCAGCCAAGCCCTGAGTGGGCCATGGGACTGACTTCCCCTCTCACTCCCTGGCCGGTGCCAGCTTCAAAGGCATTCGTGGGGAATCAGTGCTGGTCATACAGAGCCCCAGCTCCTAGGGGAGCCCCTGAGAGCTCTCCACTCCCCTGGGGGTCGTGGGAACTCGGCTCCTCCGGGCCCAGCTCGGAAGCTGCTGCACCAGGGCTTAGCTCACAGCAAGGGGCCCATCGCTCCGTCAAACAGGGGAACAGCCTCCCCCACGTGGGACCTTCCTGCCAGGCACATGGCCTCATTAAAGGGAAGCAGCAGCTGTAGGTGTGATGACATGGGGTCCCCTCCCGTCCCCTGCTGTGCTGTGCAGCATCGGGGAGCTCTCCTGCTCCACTCCCTTTCTCCCCCTGCCCCTTTCAATCTGTTCTCCTTCGCTCTTCCTCCCTCCCCCCCGCTGCTGCTGTTCCCCCAGCCAGGGCCAAGCGTGTCCTAGTGTGCAGCCCAGACACCAGCTCCTGTTCCTGGGAGAAGGGAGAACACATCAGAGGCTGACAAAGGCCCTCTCTGCAGGGCTT